GTCACTGTTCAGAGTTATCCTATTTGGCCTGCTAAAAGCACTTTGGGTCTTCATAAAGATGTATGGCTATGTGAGAAGCCTAATATCTTTATGTAGATTATAGGCATCTCCTATCTCATTCCAAGCTTGCCTCAATAAGTGAGAAAACCAGTTTTCAGTAATCCCATTAAAATGTTAAAAATAAAGATTCAGAAGTTGTAGAAACTAATGATAGTGATAATAGATTCAGGAAATGAGACTGATAGGCAACATTTCATGTGGCAAAATGTGTTTTCTGAGGTGGCTTCCTTACCTCTTTTTTTTTTTCTCCTGAAAACTAGGGCTTTCTCGATCACTTTGATACAGTTGACAAACTGTTATATATGAAGACATGGGGAAGGTCTAGATATCAATATAAGAAGCTCAATATTAGCAGTGTTTCTTGAGTAACAAGAAGTTGCAGGGGCAGGCAAAATTCAGTTTATTCAAGAAGTTGAACAAGGCCTGGAGTCAAACACAACTTACAGGGTGTTCTAGAAATTGTTCCAGTATGTTGCTACTTTCTAGCACAAGTGTATATATTAGATACTCTTTGGACCATCAACAACCTTGTGAGCTAGTAGGTTGTGTCTTTTTGATGGGATCAGAATTGGACAGCTGGGGACAATGGATATAATTTTACCAATCCATTAAGGTCTAGCTTCTGACCCTGTTGGATCAAATTTTACAAGCCTGTTGGATCAAATTTGACAAGTTGGATCAACATTGATCAAATTGATCAAATTTCTCCACTGACATGGAAGAGGATATGTGCTATAATGATGGAAAGTGAAAAGTGTCAGCTTTATCAACTTTGAGACAAAAGACTTTTGTTTAGACTAAAATTAAAAACTAAAACTATAAGTGTGATTTGTAAATGTTTAGTCAGGGTGTGGCATTTTTCCCCCTATCATGCTAATTAATTGCTCATTCTACAATCTTAGGCTGTTAGATCAGGCAGAGGAATGAGCTATTTACTCTCTGTTTTGACCTTCCACACTTCAGTCCACATAAGAAAGATGATGTTCAGCACTCAAAGAATGCTTGTTTGGTGGTCCTAGTAAACAGTTTTCTAAGCTTCTCCTGTTCTGTTTCTGTTTTCTTTCCTTGCTGCTGGACTTTACTGAACAGGCTGAAAGCACTTGCTCAGTATGAGAAAAACAGCTGTGATGCAGCCCTGTCCAACTAATGTTGAACTAAGAATTACCAGATTTGAGACTAGGTAAATATTGTAAAGAGGCAGATATACACTGGGCATGCATCCTCTCTTTCTCTGCTGCTGGTGATGATTCTACAATTAGGGCAATCAAGGGATTAGGGCAAAGGCTTAGCTTGGTGTCAGTGAGGTTGCTGGTGGACTAAAGACTTGTGTGAGCAAGCAGCAATTTTGTGACTGCTGTTAGGATTACAGTGTTAGAGTAATCCAAACTAGAGTAGTTGCTGTAGTTGGCTGCCTGCTGGTAAGACAGTATCTATTTGTAGATAGAGATGATGGGTCCTGGCTTACAGGTAACCAGGTAGTATTGCCCACAATGCCTAATCCTGTGCTGCACAACCTTAGCTTGTTCCTTAATGCCATTATCATGTATACTTAGGATCAGACAGGAGAGAGCACACAAGGATCCACTTGTGAACCAATTTAGTTTTTCTCCTTTATGGCCTAATTTCTCTATCATGCCAATATTAACTATCTCCATGTTTCCATAGTTTTGCTTCTGCTGTTGTTACATTGTATGTTCCTATCCTAAGCTGTTGCTATGTGTGTAGCTGCTACTAAATTCTCTATAGAGTTAATCAAGGTACAACTTAGCTGGTAACCTCTAATTCTAGTGCAACCATGATTATCATCTTGTCTCTGGATATTGGTGCCTGATAGGCAGAACCCTTGTCACATTATCTTTCTCTCTGGTGTGTTAAATCACTCAGGAACTTGTTTTTCTTCAGCAGCCCGAGACTGCTTAAGTCTGTCTTTGCCTGCTAGCCATTTTCTCTTTTCTCCTTTCCTCTGACTCCAGCTACTTTCTGACAGCTCCTTAGCCCATTTCAGCTTCTTCTACCATGAAAGACACGGTGTGCGTGAAAAACTTGGTTTTCCTCTGAGCTCTTTTCCAGACTTAGTTATCATCACAAGTAAAGTTTATGTGTCTGGCTGATCATGTAACAGGATGGTAAACAGCATTTATCTTCTCCACTAAGTCATAGTTCTATTCTCTAAGGTAACCACTTTTTTCCTTGTTTTTCCACAACAGTGCTGCTAATGTTACTTCATCTGTACCGTCATTTCACTCCCTATAAAATCAGTGTTTCTCCATCTTAGCAACTTTCAGATGAGTGGACTGGCTGGAGAATTCTGGGAGTTGAAGTCCACTCATCTGAAAGTTGCCAAAGTGGAGAAATACTGCTGTAAATTATGGCGACAATGCCTTGTGCAGTTTATGGACATATGTTATTAAAATCAGTAGAGATTGCTTTTGAATAAAGACATGTTTGATTGTGATAGATTAAGAATAGTTTGAATATGATCATAGAACATTAAGGTATAAATCTCCACTTGATTATGTGGAGTCAGTGATGAGCCTGAGCAAGTTACTGCTTGAGTTACTTTAGTTTGGAGTTTAAAATATGTATATATTATAATTGATCTTATATTATTAGAGTATCAATTGACAATATCAACCTATACGTTTAGTTTAGTGCAACTGATTAAATTGAGTTGGACTATTGAGCTACATAGTAAAGTATTGTTACTGCTGTTTCTAGATGTTCCTAATTGTACTTTCAAATGGAAGTAGCTGGGATAAGAGCTCTGAACAGTGACTTATGACCCTTCTTCTGAGTTATTGTATTCTGAATGGCACTTTTAAGTAATGGATTTTGGCTTGCAGTACAAAATAACATGGCTAGGTTGCACAAAGGGCAAACTGTAGTAAACTATCCTGAAGTAATTGGACTGGCTATAAGTGTACTACCAAGTCAGTGTGAAGATATCTGTTATAGCATAGAAATCTATATATAGTTAGGAACTGGATATCAAGTATTATGCTTGCTCCCTGTCAACTAAGATGTGGCAAGGATGCCAGCTTGAGTTTGCCAAGACTGCTACCTTTTCATTACACGAAGAGGGAGTGTATTCCCAAACACCATGGTTGTAGAATCTTTTCTCTTTTGGCACCAAGCTTGCATTGCTAGTTTAAGACCTATCTGTTTACTCTGTTTAGTTGATACTGCTATCCATTTTCTGTCTAGATTGTATAATAGCTGCCCTGTAGTCAGAGTTATAAGATTTAAATATCTTTTATTTATTGATTATTGATAATTTAATTTATAAACAATACATTATTTATTTATTGAAGGATTCATTTTAACTGTGTTTGTGATCAAATGTTTTTAAACATATAATTGAATATTGTTATTATTAAAAAAAACAATGAAAATGTGGGAAAATAATAGACTAACGTGAAAGCTAGTGCCTGTACAGTAGTATGTGCAACAACCTCTTTAGTATACACATTTGCATTGTACATGTGAAATTCATGTTCAAAAATTGCTTCATAGGCACAACATGGGGGTGGTGTCATTGCACCCCTCATGAGGTAAACATAATCAGTTTTGTAACATTTGAACAGTTAATGTCAGCAAATGAAAAACTTAGCTACTTATATTTGACAAACTAATAATGCATTAGATTTGCTTTTTGATTTGACCTTTAATGTTTGAGATTTCACAACAAAGCTATTTTAGGCATCAAGTTTATTTGTTTAGTTGTTATCCATTATGCTGAGTTTTACAAATCATGATAAAGGTTTCTCTTAAGTAGCTTTGACAGTTTTATCAGAGGAGACATATGGCCTACAAATACCAAAGGAAATCCTTTGAAAACATCTGCAGATTGCCTCTCAAGTGACCTTGCTTTACTGTTAATACATTTTCATAATTATGCAGATCACATTTAGATTCAATAGTTCCATAATGTTTACTTTGATTAGAGCTGTATCACAGCACTCCAGTTTTACTATTTTATTAGCCACAGACATGCCAATAAATATCAAACTAAAATAAAGCTTAGATTAATCTAATGAGCAATACTTAACTTTTGTTTACTATTAAGAATTTCAGTTATTGAAATATCTCTTGTCATTACTGCATTTCCCACGTACAGTTTGTCTCTTTTAATGCTTATATTCCCAAAACATTATAACCTAACAGAAAAATTATTGAAATTATTCATTTAAAATAATAATTTTTTAAATTATTAAAATAATTAACTATAACATGACAACAGAATTAGTAGGAAATTAGAAATTCTGAAAGATTTGGGCACTGGAGTCCCTAATTTGAACTTTGTATTTTATGGATCAAATCATTGACTTAAAAATGCAAATTTCATAAACAAGTATTCTATGGAAGAAATGCTATTCAATTTTTATATTTGAATATAGTAAAAGTAAATACTTTTCTTAGCAAGTTGCTTGCCTTTTTCCCTATTGGATTTTATTTTAGTGAGCAGAACATTTTAGTAATCAATTTTTAAATCTGAGATGTACCAATTTGTCCCAGACGTTTGGGACAATTTTGAAGAAAAAGTCATACAGTATTGGATTTTCTAAAGTGTTTCGTGGATATATTTATATTATTTGATCATAGAAAACTTCAACATATTTCCACAGTTAAAGTCACAGAAGTCTGGTTAATTATGAATACTTCCTAACTAAGAAATGAATTATGTTCTATTTTATGTGTATTTGTTTAATAGATGCACATGTTTAGAAAATAACTTTGCAGATGGAGTTGGGAAATGATTTCAGTTGTGGTTAGCTTCCCTTTGGAAAAAGCGGTTTGGATAATGTTGAATTAACTGCAGGTGTATTTGATAATTTTGTGTGCATTTATTTAATTTATTTTGAAACCATAACCCTAACATTCATTCCATTGCACTGATTTTAAGATTTAGAATTTATTATTTTTAATATGTTCTCTTTCAGGATAACATTTTGCCATCTGCCTTTCCAGAGTAAATGGCTGTATGTGGGCACCGAAAGAGGAAATATACACATTGTCAATGTGGAGTCCTTCACTCTCTCAGGCTATGTCATCATGTGGAATAAAGCCATTGAACTGTGAGTATAACATAGGTGAAAAAAATGAAATGTGATTTATTGGGACTCTGTTTTTTAAAATATATAAATCAATTAATTATAGATACTTTTAATTTTTCCTGTTGCTTTGATACTCTGACCACTGCTCTCCACTAGATATACATATTGCATAAAATAATAAATTTGTCCCAAGAAAATATTGCTGCTAAAACAAGGACCTTTCTAACATTATTCTAAGTGTATATATGCACAGAATTGTATTCTATTCCTTTACTCACTTAGACTTTATCAGAGGCCCATGAATATAAAGTGTTCCCTTCCAGTAGTCCCAGTAGCATTCTGTTAAACCTATAAAGAAGGTCAGTGAATGTTGTTGAGTGAGATAGGTAATAGGAAAGTGGGCTGACAGGAAAGGAGGAATTTTGAAGAATATGGAGATCCATGTTCTGCATCATGCCTCTGCCCAATTTTCCAGTGGGTTTACCTAACTTACCCACCTCACCCACATAGCAGGAATGAAGGAAAGTATCTGGTAATAATGTTAGTAAATATTGAAGAAATAGTTACATTTATTGAATAAGTGGGTGTTCAATAATCTTTTTTTCAGGTTATGTCATTTTTTTAAAATTAATGAGTGCTATTCTTAATGCTATATACAGTGGTGTTTAAAAGTTTGTGAGCCCTTTTGACTTTCCAATATTTCTGCCACACACAAATATGTAGTTTTGGATCATTTTCCTCAATAAATAAATGAACAAGTAGTAATGGTTTTAATTCATTTGTTTAATTGGATTTTCTTTATCTAGTTTTAGGACTGGTGTGGAGAACAAATCACATTTTAGGTCATATTTATGCAGAAATACTGAAAATTCAAACAGGTTCACCAACTTTTAAGCACCACTGTAATTCCATTTCATTTAAGCTTTTAATTTTATTTATTTAAAAAAGGTATAAATCACACTTTCATTCAGGACACTGGACCTGAAGGCAGTACACATAAAATTGACAATCTGTAATTCAGGTAAATAATGTAAGGATTGACCAGATGAAAGGACTTAAAATATTCAACCAAATGAAAATATAATAGCTGAAAATGCTTGGGCAGATTAAAAAAAGTAATACTTGGAGCAATAGAGTGTGATTACCCAATATTTTTTTGGTGTACAACCCAGAGAAGGCCATATCTTTTAAACGTGGAGGTTGCACTTTACACATAGAACATGATAATGGGCCTCTTCTAATATTCCCAGTGCACTGGTATAAAAAGAGGTGCTCCCTCAAATATTTGGTCCCCAGCTCATTTTAGAGTATGTGTAGGCAATCAGCAGCATGCTGTTCCCAAAACTTTTCCAAGAAGAGGTAGAGACAAAAATTCCAGACTCAGGTTGTTACTTTTTATTTTGTCTTGTTCTTGGTGGAGTTTGAAGAATGTAAAGGGAAAAGGGAGGATAAAACCTCTAAACCTTCCAAATCAGCCAGAACTGGGATGATTTTTCCTATTTGGGAATTGTAAAGAGCAAAACAGGTACTTCTGCCAAGATTAAGGCACCAGTTTAACTCCTTAAAATACTTTAAATTTCAATTCTGCCCACACCCACTGTGGCCTCTAGCAGAGTAGAAATAATTGTGCCTCATCACCATCACAAGATGGAAAAGGTTGCCTGCTCCTCCTTTAGGGCTTTAAGGTATAGCTAGCACCTTGACTTGGGCTTATTAACAGAAAGACAGTCTGCTTATTAATGATATCGCAGTTTATACTGTAAATGTTGTAACTGTTCTATACATCTGTATTTTTGTTTCTTAAAAATATTGTTTAAATTTTTAGGTCATCCAAGTCTCATCCTGGACCTGTTGTCCATATTAGTGACAATCCAATGGATGAAGGCAAGGTATGTTTTAAAAAAAATGTAAACCAAACTTGAATTATATTGAAGAGGGTTGTGTTTTAGCACTAAAATATGACAAATGCTTTGTTGGATGGCCTAGGAATTGCTTTTCACATATCAAGCATCAGAATAATGTAGTTTTTGCAATTATATCCCCAATGGCTATTTGCAAGCATGACTATTGAATATTCATAACTGTACTTTTGACATATTATGCTTCTAAAACATAAATGGAACCTCTAGTAAATGCTCAAATATTTACTTTAGCATGAGTTTGTATTAACACAAGCAATTACCAAAACATTTGGTTGCTTTTTAAAACACTACATTATTACTTTAATATAAAAAAAGGAAAAAGACAAAAACACAGCAAAAACACAAGAAAACAAAAACAAAATTAATGCATATGTCATGGGTTTAACCCACTATTGTCCAAATTTGGACAATATTGGGTTAAACCCATGACATACGCATTAGTGCCCCCTAACTGTTATCTACTTTGAGTATAATGAAGTTGACTGCTAACCTTTATAATATTCTCTGATTTTTCAGAGGAAAAACTGTTGTTGAACTGTTTGATTAATTATGTGCCATCAGTTGTTATTGACTCTTAGTGACCACATAATTTTCTCCATGAGTTGCTGAATTAGTCTCTTCTTAAGAGTATCTTTAAGACCCTTAACCACTGGTTGAAAATATAGGGTTTTTCAGTTCTCTGTTTCAAAGGTTGTAGATAACTAATACCCACCTTAACAATATTCTTTAAATGTCTACTAAAAACACTATTTAGAATGCTCCAAAACACAGTTCAATAGTAATAGTAATTCAGAAGTTTCTGATGCTGCTAAGGTATCTTAACCAAATTGTGAAATCAGCATGTTTTAATTAAATATACTCCCGTTCTGTGTGTTAGACAATCCAGACTCCTCTTAAAATAATGAATGCCAATGATAAGGCTGAAAGCCCGGAAAATTAAAATCCCTTTCATCATATAATAGCTTAATTGGGATAAATAAAATCTAGGAGTTTATCCTTCCCATTAAAAATATTTTTAAGAATTTATCAGTTTGGTTGATAATACTTTGAAGGTACAACGTGGGAGTCCTTCTAAGCAGACATATCAGCTAGGAAGTAATATTCATTTTGACAGCATTGGTCTTTCCTCATAAACCCATTGGGATTTTTACTATTTATGTCAATACTACTTGGAGGTAAAATGTTGCTATATTCATATTAAATTGCTGTCTTTCAGAAGGGGAGGTGATACTTGTTTTCTCTGTCTTTTTAGCTTTTGACCAATAATTTAAACAAAGAGAATTTCCTGCTTACTAATTAAGTAACAAAGCAGTCAAAAGATGAGTTCCCTTGAGCTGGGAGAAAACTGGGATAGCAAATTCAGTTTGTAGATATCAGCCAAAAGTCCAACATAAATTTTTGGTTATGGTTGGTATTTGTAGGTAGTTTATGTATTTGTAGGTAGTTTATGTATTTTATATGGAAGATTGGTACTTATTTTTCTACTTTATTTATTCATTCATTCAATTTGTATGCAATGTTATCAGTTGAAATGGAATATATTGCAGGATAGTTTTGTAAGCAGGACAAGCCTTGAATATTAGAAAATCTTCTCTGATACCTGATTTTAGGATTAGAAATTGATCTTGTATGTATTTATGACCAGTTCACACAATGCCTTTAAACAAGCAAGAACATCAGATTGAGAACATCACATTCCAAAATGATATTGGTTCGTCTGATATCTCTCATTGAAGCAGAGATATAGTATTTTTTGTGCTCTTCATAAGTAGTTTTTGTTTGTTTTCAATCTTGGGGTTTTTTTAATGACACTTTGGTTAATCTAATATTCTTACAATCATTAAAAGCTATTTTATTCCTGAAATCCTGTTAGATATGGGGAAGGGGAGAAACTGTATTAGACCAATCCGTATGTATGTATGTATGTATGTATGTATGTATGTATGTATGTATGTATGTATCTATCTATCTATCTATCTATCTATCTATCTATCTATCTATCTATCTCAATAAAAAATGTAATCCATACTAAGTTCTATCAATAGAAATATTAGAGCTTATTTAGCAAAAACCCATTTTATCTAAAACTAAAAGTCTTTAAAGAAGGTACTGTTCTTTGGTCATATGTAATAACAGCCTTTGCACCTAATCAGCAAAGGTTTCTCCCTCCTCAGTCAAATGGAGATAAACCAGGGACAGAGCAAAACCATCCATTGGGGAACTGCTAACTAGACCATCTTCAGATATTGTAGCCTGATGAAATGCTTGCTGTAGGTGGGATGGAAAAGCCCAGGGAGCACTGTTATGAGATGAGCAGAGGGAAATGCACCCTTCTATTATATTTGAATTTTTTAAAAAAATCAATATAAATTGTTGCATTTGTAAATCTTTTTCCTTGTCATGTTTGTTTGTTTATTTACATTCAGGGTATATTTTTATAGTGGATTTCATTCAAGTATGCAATCATTTAGCCGCAGACTGCATTGGTACATGTAAAGAGATAGTGTGCTTGGTGATGTTTCCTTATCTTAAGTGGTTCTTAAATCTTCCAACATTTGCTCACTTTGGTAGTAAGTGAGTAATTTAGCACTATATTATACATTTTGAGCCAGATACAAGGTAAGAAATTGCAGGTTGGTTTACATTCTACAAGAAGAAAAGGAGACAAGCCATTTTAGAATCTGAATGCAGAAAACTGCAGAAGAATAATTTATTTTCCCAAATCAGTTTCTAGCACTTTTCAGCTCATCTTCTCTTTGGGGCAAAAATCAATTATATATGCAATATAATTCAGTTCTGTACATGGGTTTGATATGTGTCTGTGTGTGTCTGTGTCTATCTCTATCTCTCTATATATCTTCCACATGAACTGAAAAGACAGTTATACAATCTGTGCTGAATTTCAGTTCTTTCCCCCCATAGATTATGGCAGAAAGAGAAAATGTTACCATAGGTTACAAAAGAGGCTAAATGACTGTGGGGGGCGGGGGGGGGAGGCATATAATACAGTCCTGACTTTTTTTTTTAAATGCTGAGAGGATAATGATTTAGTCCACAACTTAGAAACTGACTTGGAAAAAACTCCTCTTACCAATAAGATCACTGTGTTATGGGGAGATGGATTAGATCCTAAAAAAAAAAGAAGGAAGGAAGATAGAACAGACACTCTGGCATATTTTCTACTGAATCACTGTTATGTGGGGAGTTTCTTGAGTCATATGGTATATTCTTAAAACAGTCTTCAAAACCTGAAGGCCATTTTTGCATTCTCAATTAAATTCAAGGAATTCTAGAAGAAAGATTAGCATATTTTCTAGCATACCACCCACTCTTAAACCAATCCAGAAGGATATCATGATTGTCAGGCCCAGCCCAAGAATGACAACGAGGCAGTCCAGTCCCGTATGGTTCCTTTATTAGCTTGCATCTAATAGACAGAATCTTGCCAGACTAAACCTATGCTAAAGCAACTAGTGGATATACCCCGTGAAACTCTAGAGAGGGGCTAGTCTCAGCTTCTTCATCTTTTCACAGTCCTGCTGCAGGCTGAGGAAGCGCTTGCCCTGTAACCTCTCCTGGAATGCTCCCCCTCCCTCCTGATAACCTTGATCCTCCATTCCAGTATCCTCCTCGCACATGCCTTTCATTACAGATTGATGGTATCAGAAGCCACTAAGAGATCAATAAGGGCTAGGATTGATGGATTATTTCCATACCAGTCCCACCAGAGATTATCTAAAAGTGTATTCAGTGCTGTCTCAGTACTGTATTCTGGTCTGAAAGCCAATTGAAAGGACTCAGGATAATCCATTTATCCAGGGCCATCTATAGGCTCTTTTCAACAGTCTTCCTCCAGATTGGGAAGTTTGAAGGCCAGACAAAAATTGTCCAGGGAGGGTTTCTTGAGAAGACAGTGGACCACAGCCTATTTAAGAACTGGAGATATCACTCCCTCCTTCAAGGAAGCATTTACCACCACTTGAATCCGGCTACATATTGTCTGTTGGGAGGCCTTAACCAACCAGAAGGGTGGCCACACTTATGGGATTGAGGACTGGTCCACTTTTGAAGCTAAGTTTAGCTTCTTATGGGTTCAATTCTCAAGTACTGTAAGAGACAGAGTTTAGTTAATCTAACATTTGACAGATAAAGCACCAATAAACAATCAAATGATGTGTCAGCCCCAAGATGTAGAAAAGACCAGGAAACAGACCCAATGAAGGCTTAAAACTACTTCTATTAAAATGGACTGTTTTAACAGAATCTTGCAAGTCTGATTCTTATACTCCTGTGAATAGGGTGAGGTGGGAGTGTCTTTCTGAGACGTTTACTCATTCCTTCTCCTTGTTTTGGATTCAAGCCATGTTTAGCTCCTCTTTGCTTTGTTAATGGATCTCCTTTCTCCATCAGGATCTCCTCTTTACTCTCTACTTGATGATAAATTTAATGAATATAGCATCAGTTTCAGTCCATAAAAATGGAATATGTGGAACTGGACACCCAGTAATGCTTTTTGTGGAGGACCATTTCGTATTAATCAACCAATTACATTATAAGTCTTTTTTCCTTTACACTTGTAAAACTTCATGTAATCTCTTCATCCTCTTGACATGTGGCAGCCATTAGGTTATTATGTGGACTGGACAACTTTTCCATTGGTTACCTTGATTAGTTGCTTCTCAGAACTGAAAATGAGTCAGTATCATTACAATAGTTTTCCCAGTGAGTCAAAGAGACCATTAAACTGTCCTATGAATTCTGTCAGAATAAAAAGATATTCCACAGGATACTGTTGCTTCTGAGGCATAAATTACTCTTGGGCCAGATTAGATGCTTCCTTTGGATGGGCTGCACTATTTTCTCCAGATACATAATTTGCTTTCTTGGATTAGTGAGCTTGTATAGTGAGATGGACGGCTTGTTTATGTATGTATGTATGTATGTATGTATATGCTGCCCATCTCCCC